CTCTCATATATTATGATTAATTTCATAATTATTTTTCTTTCAACATCCAAATTTTCGATCTTCGTTATGCAAAAGAAACTTGCAAGAAGAAGTGAAAAATTTGAATTTCTGGAAAAAAACGTTCAACACTGCCTTGAACCGCCAGTCAATTGTAGTCGTTGCAATGAGCACCACTTTGAATATTTATTACTTACTGCTCAGACTCCCCATCATTTCTTGTTCTGTGTATCAAATAGACTATGCACTAGCCGTGCGCGAGTGCAACATATGATCTCGGAAGTTTCCATTGAGTAAAGTAAAGCTTTTCTGATACGTATCGAGCATCCCCCAGAACTGTTCCCATATGAACCATTAACATAGCTGCCTTTCGATCGTTCTAGCACATTAAATCCAGCAAATTTAAGGCGCTTATTCGAAGACCAGTGCGTCACCTCTGCTTCGCAGAGGCTCGCATTGGCGCTACTTTCTGTATAGTAATGACATTGAAACTCACCGCGCTATGTAGGCTATCACGAATAATTCGTAAACAACTACTCATTCGTAGAGGTTTTGCATGTGAGGTCGGTATTTTCGCGTGGATAAAATCTTTTCCAGAAGAACAGATGCATTCGAACAGGTTTTTGGAATTTTTATGGCTTGGTAGTCGCCGTAAGGACAATAAACATAGTGGGCTACATCTCTGTGCAAAAATCTTCTCAAACAATTAGGTGAAATCTTGAAAAATTGACCGTTTACACAGCGAATGCTTTTTGGCGCTGTTTTCATAGAGTGGTAGATTTTCCATTACTTTTTTAGGCTGATGTCTATGGTTTGCACATTAGCTTGTCAAATATATCTTTGACTCTGCAAAAAGTAGTACTACGGACCCAGATTTGCTGGCCGGAAGCCAAGTGGATCCGTTTGACACGCAAATTTCAATGGATCCACTCAACGAATCCGCTCATGCTCTTGTATAGTGAGCTTTCATGCTGGTAGCGTGCGCTATGCAAAATTTGGGCTCAGGACGTTGGCTGGAACACGCTCTACGAATTTCGTGACAGGCAGAGATTCACACAGACACACACACACACACACACCAGTGGCGTACCGAGGTGGGGGCGGGGGAGGGGGGGGGGGGGGGCGCGCCCCTTCCCCGAGAATAGGTCGCGAAATTTTTGAAAGTTACTTAAATGTGTTATAAAAATGTGCAGAGGACTTATTTTTACTTGTAAATAATCGAAATAATTTTTAAAAAAATTTAAAAATTCAAATTAGCCTTGTAAAAAAATTTTTTGAAATTTTGGGGTCAGGAACCCGGAAAATTCTAGGAAACATCCCTAAAAAATTTTCGGAGTGCGTGGCTGACGCCACGCACCTTTTTTGTCCTTTTTTTGTCAAAATTTTTTGTCGCGCCCCCCCCCCCCCCCCGAGTCGAAATCCTGGGTACGCCACTGACACACACCACACACACACACACACACACACACACACACACACACACACACACACACACACACACACACACACACACACACACACACACACACACACACACACACACACACACACACACACACACACACACACACACACACACACACACACACACACACACACACACACACACACACACACACACACACACACACACACACACACACACACACACACACACACACACACACACACACACACACACACACACACACACACACACACACACACACACACACACACACACACACACACACACACACACACACACACACACACACACACACACACACACACACACACACACACACACACACACAGGCACACACACAGACAAATGTAAACAACCCTTACTCCGTTATTATAAGTTACTAGCTGGCTTACCCGGCTCCGCCATATGTTCCGAATAGAAAATTCCATTTCTTAACCGATCTGGACCAAACTTGGCACACATACACTTCGGGCCCCGGCGGGTGTCATAGGCTACTTTTCGTTATCGATCGATGTCAATTTTATCGATTTTTTGCAGAATTTGAGCTAGGGGGCTGGAACTTGGCAGAGGGGGGTAATCGAGCATGCTGATCACCCCCACGGGGGTGATCAGCATGCTCGATTACCCCCCTGTGCCAACTCCCAGCCCTGTAGCTCCAATTTTCCAAAAAATCGATAAAATCGATATCGATCGATGACGAAAAGTAGCCTATGACACCCGCCGGGGCCCAAAGTGTATGTGTGCCAAGTTTGATCCCGATCGGTTCAGAAATGGAATTTTCTATTCGGAACATACGTACATACAGACAGACATACAAACAGACATTCAGCTTTATATATAAGATATAAGCTTTTATGCTCGGAATGCAATCTTTTTCGCTCGCAACGCGCTCGCGCTGTTTCATCCCCTAGGTACCCATGACCGATGGTGGTTGGTATGCCCTATATATGCTGTCCCAATGGCATCGGTCATGCGACGTCGCTCCTGCGGCAACTTGCAACGTACGATATAACGCGTGCGAATTTTGCTACGCGTAAAAGCACGCCGCACGCGGCGATGCGTCCTCGCGAGACATACTAGCGCGAGAACGATGCTGATACGGCCCATGTGCAGCTCAAAATCTAAAGATGAGTTGGAACATCGTTATCAGCTCAGTACAAAAAGGGAGACCAATAAGGTTTAGAACGTGTGATTCACTCAAAATTGTTCTGAACTTTGCAACATTAGCAACTGCTTAAGTGACACTATTGACAACAATATGAACGAAGATTTTCTAGTATAGGTGTGGAGGCAGCTATATCAATACAGCATTTCGGCGAAAAAAGGCGTTCATTGCGTCTTGTACATGAAAATTGGCTTTTCAAATTTGAATATACCGTTGGATAAAGCAAGCAGTGCTAAATCAAAATATAAGAAAAAAAATCAAAGAGCATAGCTTCGCAAGAGGTTATTCCAATGCGGCACCTCCAACATAGCATCGCATTAATGTCGCGTACGGCACAAAAAATCTAAATTTTCACTTTGCAAACATAATATTAGGGTGAACGGTAAAAAATGGGACACCTTGAGAATATTTGCAGATTTCTCAAGGAAGAAAAGTGACTGAACTTTCCAATTTTGACGGATATTAGAATAAATTATTCTCTTTCAGATAGCACCTATATAAGGTCATTTAAATAATTGATAATTTTTATACTTGCTAAAATGCAAAGTTAGTTACTTCGAGAAATTATGATGTTTGAGCAGTATCGGCGCAGTGAAACATGTGAAATTACCCAAAGTACCACTGCTGGAGTGAGTGGTGGGACAGTCACCAAACCCACGACGGCTTGGTGGCTTTAACTCTCAATGTCAGGAGATATGCCCATTAACAGCTTCGAGAACAAAGATACGCGTTATTCAATTCTTTGCAGGTAAACGCATGATTTCTAGGTATCATCTGATAGAGCTTTTTACGCTCTATCCATCCATATGCAGCTTACTTCAGATTTTATCTATCTTCGGAAAATATAGGGCAAAACATGATTTTTTGGTTTTTTGTTGCGCCAAAAATAGCTATTTTTCAGGTTTTTTCGATTTTTTTCTGAAATTGAAAATAAATCTCATGCATTCAACGTATCGTTCGAAAGAGCATGAAGAGCTCTTTCGAATGGTATGTCATGTGCTTTACGACTTTACGGTATAACAGCGCAAGATTGAGGATTGTCCAAAAAACCCTGTTCAAGTTCTTCACGGCGCCACGTGTAGGGTAGTGGAAGAGGAGCGTTAACGCGTTGTCAGAATAATAAGCGAAGGTCGCCCATGTAAGCGACGTTTAAGTTGCTGCTTACTTGCTGTTGCCAGAAAGAAAAAATTCCAAAATGTAATGAAAATCAAGCTGTCCCATTTTTTACCGTTCACCCTAATATCTACCAGATGCATCAGACAATGCTGATTTTGAGCGTTCAAAACTTGCTTAGACATTTAAATGCTAAGAAATATGTCATTCAGTGAAGAGGTCGAACCAACCAATGCGTCTCCTCATTTTCGGGCCATGAATAGATATAAAATAATCAGTTTTGGAATCCTGTTCTAATCACGTCTGAGGGAGTGTTTATTGAAGCAAAAGATGAGGTAAGAATTGGTACACTAGGTATTTCTTCACTATCTAAGGATCGCTGTTGCAAGAGACGCAGGGAATTTTGCCATTGTAATAAACTGACGTTTATTTGGTCACTGAGCACAACTCTAAAATAGTTGCTACCCATCCCATCTCATACTTAAAAGGCACAGTCCACCCAAATTCTCGACTTCCATTTTTTGTCGCTTCCGGGCATTCTGAAGGCCCTGATTTCGAATATGAAGTCGAGAATCCAAAAAATCCTTATTTTGGAGAAATCGGGACGGGTGGAAGTGCAGCTTGCAGGGCTGCGGCGCGGTATCGCCCGGCGTATGTCAGCGCCACAGCCCCCAAAGCTGCAAAATGGGCGGAGTGACCAGCTCTGGATCACGTATCACAACTTCCAGAGCGGATTTCTCGCTCCGGTAGCAATCTTTTGCGGGGAAACTTGGGGTTGGCCTAGTGTGGGCGCCCACATTAGTATGCCATCGAATCTCATGAACCCTCACTTTGGGTGGACGGTGCCTTTAAGGGGACTTTGGAATAATTGAGTCATAAAGAACATCGCTTCCAAGAAGAATTTTTGCTCGCTTCAATGTTTGTCTCTGACATGTGACACGTACCTCGAGCTGGTTTTACTTAAGCACATCTATACAAGAGTATAGTTTGCCGTTTGCACATCATGCAGGATAGTAACAGGGTGAATTTGAGAGAATTAACGTCTATGATATCCTGTTTGCTTTCTAACAAAAACGGCTTCCAGCGCGACATTTGCAACCGTCATGCCAGGCTCTCAACTCAGGAGGTCTGCGCTTTCGAAAAGCAAAAAGGAAAAGTTTTCCAGTTGACATGAGTTAGGCGCAGATGAATTCTTGGAGACCTACGCTGCTATACTTTCAACGAAAATTGTTGTCTACGAAATTTAGATAAACTCACTAAACACGAACTTATTCTCCTTCTCGCTATGAATGGATGCCAAGTGGGCGTGCTCTCTGACGCAACTCTGTTCTGCTTCCCAAAAGACAAGCGGCCCTTCCATTAGCTGCAAGTATTATGGTATAACGCTGAAGCAAAAGTCCATGCATATTTCGAAAGAATTTTAATAGCTTTGAACTCAAAATCGAGTTTTCGTGCTTGAAAAATAAAGTTTTGGCGATGATTACTCTAGTTTCACAAGTACAGGATGCACTGTTTTTGTTAAATTCGGTCTATAAAAGGCCAAAAGATCTAAAAGTGAGTTCATTCCTGTAGGTATCGTCCCTTCCACAGCTCGTGCTACTCTTCTGGCGTCGCGAACGTGCCACGTGCGACTAACACGTTGGCAACGTTGGTAGCAACACGTTGGCAACATGCAGCAACATATTGGTGTGGCCAAAATGTTTTGCAACATGTTGCTACATGTTGCAAACATGTTCTCAGACAATCGCAGGGGGCAGGCGGACACCGGAAAAATAGATGGCTGATTTCTTGAATCTCACTCGCGGATTTTTTGAGAGGCAATCAGGACTTTTCGGAACGTCGCTTGCTGAATTCTCGATTTCTCAGAGATTCAGCAATATATCTGCAAAAGATAAGAGCGAAAAAAATTCAACAGGCGGTCTCTCAGAAACTCGCTAACTATTTTCCTGGAATTTGCGAGCAGGATGCGAAATTTCAGCAACGCGTATTTTCCGGTGCCCGCCTGCCTCCGGCGATTGTCTGAGTTGTTGCCACGTTGCCAACATGTTAGCCACACATGGCAGGTCTGAGATGCAGACCAAGGGTAGCACGAGCTGTGGAGGGGACAATATAGGGGATTCCCATGCGTATAGCGGGCGTGGCCCTGCAGACGTTTTAACACGTTAGAAAACTTGTTGAACCTCCATTTTGAAGCATTAGTTCTGCACTCTCTCAGTATCAAAACTGCCACGCGGATACGTTGGCAAACGTAGGCAAAGCTCCGCCCGCTGTACTGTGGGGAATAGATGATATCAAGAATAGACAGTTTTTCATGTTATAATTCAGTAAGACTTGAGAACCTAAAAGCCTGCTCCTATGACGTATGTAACAAAATTTTTTGAAGTCCAGAAAAGATTATCATTTACTAGTGGCGTCCCGGCTAGTGTGAACAGCTAGTGCGACATGCAAAGACGGCTCGTCTTGCATACCGCCAAATTACACATGGACAATCCAAACATATACATCCCCATCAACAGTTGTTGATGATACAGGGTGTCGCAACATAATGTACACTATTTAATCGCTAATTCAACTTCCACAAGTCTTGCCAAACTTTAAATAATATTTTTAGAGATGACTTCAAATCAGATTTACAGTATGAAACGACAAACTTCTCTCCGCTGCTGTAGGATAGGATTACCATAGGAAAATTGGAAGTTTGAAGACATCGAGAATCGTGTTCAATCAGAAAGGACACCAAAAAAGCCAAAATTCTCTACAATTTTAGTGTTGGCACTTTAGATACGAAATTTGCAGTAAACCGTAATGCTTTTCATAAGTTATACCAGATAAACCTTGACAAGTGTTTTCAATGCGTTTCAAAAACTTAATTACACATCTGAAAAGCTTGGAAAGCTCGCGAGAATTGCTTATGTATAAAAATCAGCATATAAACACTCGTAAACTTTTAGATTTTTTGAAGAAGTACTTTCAGATGTCTCATCGCGAAGTTGCGCTAATGTTGGAAGTTCCTACCAAAATCCTGCAGGGACAAAAGCATGGGTGATCCGCTTCCTGCTAAAAGCAAGCGAAGCCAGCCTTACAAAATATTGCCCAAAACATGGCAAAAATCGTAATTGAGCTATTAGCTATCTGTTGTAACCTTCTACTTGTACTCGTACTTGTGGTGGGTCCTGGATACTTGTAGCATAGTAGATTTATTAGTAGACCGGATATGTTGATAAGACGAGACGAACGAATGACTTAGCTAGTGCTCAGACAATCGCTGGGGGCAGGCGGGCACCGGAAAAATAGATTGCTGATTTCTCGTACCGCGCTCGCGGATTTTTTGGAAAGCAATTAGGACTTTTCGGAAGACCGCTCGCTGAGTCAGCCGATTTTTGAGAGACCGCCTGTTGAATTTTTTCGCTCTTATCTTTTGCAGATATATTGCTGGATCTCTGAGAAATCGAGAACTCAGCAAGCGGTCTTCCGAAAAGTCCTGATTGCTTTCCAAAAAATCCGCGAGCGGGGTGCGAGAAATCAGCAATCTATTTTTCCGGTGCCCGCCTGCCCCCGGCGATTGTCTGAGAGGGAGCGCCTTATATAGCGCTCAGATCCCGCGCATAGGTCGATACAATACCAATAGATTTTAGAGATCACAAGCCAATAACAACACAAAACAAAACAACAAATGTTACTCTCCAACATCTCTCCCTTTGAGGTATCATTTATATCGCTTCTTTGCCGGGTTGATCAAGATGCGGCACGGTGGTCGATGCGTCCTTTGCGGCCGGCGGCGAAGTGGCAATGGAGATGGTTGAGCGGCGGAGACATCAGCGTCCACTGGTTCGTCGGCGGTGGCGACATCGGAAGTTGGCGGTGTCTTATTAGCAAGAAGGGAGTCTTGGGAGGCGGGAACATCAAGGGAAACGGCAGGTGACGGTATAGGGAGCTCAAAATCCAGAGAGCTGAACTCTCTCAACAGCGTGGTGGTGGCGTCGGGAACTGCGCGAGGGCGTAACTGGTTGGCATGGCGTCTCCATACAAATCCTTCGACATCCACGTTGTACAGTGAGGGTCCAATCCTTGATTGTACACGTCCTGGAGTCTAGGCTTCGATGGATTACGGTAGTCGCGAACATAGACGACATCGTAGACTTCGAATTTCCTTTTCTTGGCTCCATGTGGACGGTTGTACATTGCTTCCATTGCCGGTTTCGATCCGGGGGAGTGGGTTGGTGTGACAGTTCGAGCGTCAGTGACCAAACGTGTGAGTGGAGTGTTGATCGTTCGTCCAAGAAACATCTCGGCTGCGAACGATTCTCAGGCGAAGACGAGCAGGGCGTAAGCGCTAGCAAAGTAGTAGCTTCGACAAGGCTTCCGGAAGGTTTCCTTCTCCTTTCAGCTTCGAAAGTCCCCTCTTGAAAATTCCGACAAAGCGTTCAGCGAGCCCATTCGACTGTGGGTGGAACGGCGGCGTCCGAACATGCTTGATCCTGACTTCCTGCAGAAATCCTCGAAGTACTGGGAAGAGAATTGGGTGCCGTTGTCCGAAACAAACGTTTCTGGGAGTCCAAATTGGCTGAAGATCTCCATGAGTTCCTGCGTGGTCGCTTGTGACGTAGTCGACTGCATATCTACGATTTCAGACCAGCGGGAATACGCATCCACGACAACGAGGTACATGTGTCTAAAGCGGTCCCGCAAAATCAATGTGCAGGCGTTCCATCGGGGAGACTTGCGATCGACCATGGAGTTAATTCAGCTTTCACTGGATTCTTAGCGGCAAGTTGGCAATTCTGGCAGCGTTCCACAGTTTTCTTGATGTCTTCTTCTATACCAGGCCAGTAGACATGATTGCGAGCGAGCAGCTTCATGCGGGTTTGTTCAGGATGTCCCTCGTGCAGCATATGGAGAATTTTTCTTCTCAACGAAGTGGTTACGACGATCCTGGGTCCGAAGAATATGCATCCGTTGTAAGCAGATAGCTCCTATCGTTGGCCCCTGTAGTTGGATAACGGCGTTCCTGGAAGTGCATTTGGCCAACGTCCTGTTTGGAGACAATTAAGCAGCTCCATCAGCATAGCGTCTTTTTCCATAGCAAAACGAACATCTTGTACTATAACTGGCAGCTGGTTGAGTGCTTCTTCGCAAATGGCAGTGACATCGGCTTCTAAAGTGGCAATGATGACGTCTTCTTCCAGCGCATTCCGACAGGAAAGCAATCGGGAGAGAGCATCAGCCTGTCCAAACGATGTCGTAGAGCAGTACTTGATGTCGAAATCATAGGCAAGTAGTGTCATCGACCATCGTTGTAAACGGTTGACAGTGTAGGCAGGTACTCCTTTCTTGCTCCCGGATACGGTGAGTAGAGGGCGGTAGTTCGTGAGCAGTGTAAATCTTTGTCCATAAATGTAGCGGTGGAACTTCTTGACAGCGAAAACTAGGGCCAATCCTCTTTCTCAGTCTGCGAGTAGTTCTTCTCTGGTGCCGAATGCGCGACTCGCATGGCAAACGACCTTCTCCGATCCGTCCGGGTAGCGGTGAGAAATCATTGCTCCGATTCCATAGTTGCTTGCGTCAGCAGCAACGATGATCGGCTTCTTGGGGTCGTAGTGGCACATCAGAACATTCGAGGTCAGGACTTTGCGAAGGCGGTCGAAGGCTTCCTGGCACTCCTTACTCCAGACAAACGGTGTGTCTTTCTTCTTCAAAGCGTCCAATGGTCCGCGAAGTGAACGCATCTTTGGCGCAAAAGACGAGTAAAACGAAACCTTCCGAAGGAAAGATTCGAGCTGCTTCACATCTCAATCCTCTCGGGGTCGGGCGTCTTCTTTCGGCGTCGACAATGAATCCGAGAAATACTATGCTAGGTTTAGCAAAATAACACTTTTCACGGCGAACACGCATTCCATAGTCTTGAAGACGTTGGAATAGCTTGAAGACGTTTGCATCGTGCTCCTCACGAGTCCTTCCAATGACCACAACATCGTCCAGATAAGCGACGGCTCCACTGATGTCAGCGGTGATGTTGCTCATTAAGACTGGAAGATCCCAGGGGCACTCTTCACCGCAAACGGTAGACGGTTGTAGCGGAAGATTCCACGGGATGTGTTGATGGTCAGCAATTCTTTGCTCTCGTCGTCCATTTCTACTTGCAAATACGAGTCACGCAGGTCGATATTCGTGAAAACGGTCCCCCCATAAAACTTGGTGAAGACGTCCTCTGCAGTAGGCAGTGGGTGTCTGTGCAGCTCCAATGCGTCGTTCAGTCCGGTGGAGAAGTCGGCACAAATGCGCACTGCTCCATTCTCCTTTTTGACGGGAACGATGGGAGCGGCCCACTGTGAGTAGTCGACGCGTGACAGCACTCCAGTATCG